GTTCTGAAGTGAACCCCCGAACGCCCTGGTACGGCCGAGAGTGGGGAGAGCCCGCTCTCCCTCTCGAAGTACTCTCACACGGCCGCGCGTATACAGCCTCTGTCAGGGAAGTCCTACTCATTGCCTTCTCGTGGCGGGGGTGTTGTTTACGAAAATGAGAGGACGAAAAGCGAACGTCCGGCGCTTTAACCGGATCACAAACCAATGGTGCACATGGGCTCCAGTATCCTGCGGGAACAAATGGCGTATGAACCAATCGTTGGTCACCGGCTACCACGGGATTGCATCTCCTCACGATGTTCCACTGCCTTGTGGGTTAGACCATTAGGTCAAAGGCTCGGGGTGTGGCCCCCTAAGATAACCACCTGCTTCGGTTTGGGCACCCGGGCAGTATCACAGCCCACACACAAACGATGAACTCTATGATTATGGCAACTACTTTTCTCGATCCGATAATCAATCAATGGATTCAAATAATTATCATTACTATTATTGTCATTACTAATACTATTATTATTACCATCATTGTCATTATTATTATTATTATTATTATTATTATTATTATTATTTTCCACATTATTCACCCTCTTTTATACTTATACAGCGGCTCGTCTTTGGTGGAAATTCGACTGTATCTAAACGTTCTCGAGTCACTGTCCGGTTGAAAATTGTATGTTACCACCGATTACGAGAACTGAAGCAGTTTTTCTGAAACCACGTGCACCACTCAAACTGGCTGCCTTCAACGTTCGCACACTAGTGCAGGTCGGACAACAGATAGGGCTGGCTATGTATTTGGAAAGTCTTAATATTGATGTTTGTTGTCTATCCGAGACCCGTATTCAAGACTCTGGTGAAGTACTACAAATTCGATCTCCATCTGTCGCTTCGAAAAGCTTGTTTTACGTGCGCCTATCCGGGGACCCCGTGGCATCTTCGTCTGGTCTTGCTGGCGTTGGTGTCGCACTAAGCGCTAGAGCTGAGGCAGCACTAGTCGATTGGATCCCCATTAACAGTCGGTTATGTGCTGTTAGATTAGAAAGTTCCATCAAAGTGAGAAGAAATCGGCGTGAGAAACGATGTCTTTTCGTCATCTCCGCCTATGCCCCGACAGATTGCAGCCCGGATGCAATCAATGATGAGTTTTACCACCAGTTGTCTGTTCTTCTCCAGAAAGTGCGCTCGACAGATATTGTAGTACTAGCCGGAGACTTGAATGCTCAGGTCGGGCGTCTAGGCACAGAAGAGAGTCGTTTAGGTGGCCGATGGGGACTCGTTGGTCGCAGGTCAGATAACGGAGACCGTCTACTGCAACTTTGCACAGACCACAACCTGTTTCTGGCTAGCACTAATTTTCGGCACAGTCATCGCCGATGTGACACCTGGCGTCCTCCCTCTGCGTCCCAAGCCTGGACTCAGATTGGTCATATCGCGATCAGCTTCCGCTGGCGTGGTTGTGTAAAAGACCTCCGCTCCTTTTGGAGTACCTATCTGGACTCTGACCATTCCTTGGTCTGCGCCAATCTTGCCTTACTTTTCAGTGGACAACGAAGTGACCGCCATCAAAGGATTGATATTAGCAAGCTGGTTGCAACTTCTGTTGCAAATAAGTATCGAACCGAGCTAGGCTCTAGGCTAGCTACCACTCCACCGAAAAGTATAGATGAGCATTGGTTGCAATTGCATGACGCCATGAAAATGGCGGGAACAGTCAGTTGTGGGTTTGCGAAACGTCCCGCTTTTAAGCACTGGGTTTCTTCTGGTTCCTTACAACTTATTGAAGCCCGTCAGTCGACTCCGGGTGACCGTGAGTTTGACCATAAACGACGACTGTTAATTAAATTGAGCAAAGCTTGCGTAAGGACCGAGAAGCCTGGTGGTCGGAGCGTGCTAATGAGCTGGAAGCAGCAGCTGCATCTGGTAACTACCGGAAGCTCTTCCAGCTCATCCGAGCCACTGGCAGCAAGAAGTCTGGTGTGAGTGAAACAATCTGCGAGGATGATGGGATGCCAATCACTAACATCCATCGACGTCTTGGACGATGGGCAGAATTTTTCGAAGGGCAGTTCAACTGGCCTGCTGCTCCGGCAACATCGGTCAGACTGTCCTGCCTCCATGGCCGGTGACGACTGATCCACCAAACAAGGAGGAAGTCCGCAAGGAACTCCAACTTTTGAAGCGTTACAAATCACCTGGCTCAGATGACTTACCTCCGGCTCTTTTTAAAGATGGTGGTGACTTTTTGACTAAGGAATTAACGACGTTGTTTACAAAGGTTTGGGAATTAGAGAGTGTACCAAGTTCATGGAATGAGTCGATAGTTGTCCCTATCTTTAAAAAGGGTTCACGTCGTTCCTGCAACAACTATCGGGGGATAAGTCTACTTCCGATTGCGTCCAAGCTATTGGCTTCCGTCATACTTCGTAGGTTGTTCAAAACCCGAGAAAGATTGACTCGCGAGGAGCAGGCTGGGTTTCGTTCTGGTCGAGGATGTATTGATCATATCTTCACCTTCCGCCAAATGTTAGAACATCGCCATACTTATCAAAGGCCAACAATCGTAGTGTTTCTTGACATCAGGACTACCTTAGATTCGTTGGACAGGACTGTTCTCTGGGATTGTCTATTGAAGAAGGGTGTGCCTGAGAAGTTTATTAACATCCTGAAAGCCCTATATAAAAACACCTCAGGTAGAGTTAGGGCATATAACCACCTCTCTCCATTGTTCTATACGAGTAGTGGGGTTAGACAGGGTTGCCCAATCTCACCATTCCTCTTCAACTTTGCCATCGATGACATTCTGGAAACAGCTCTGATGGATGTAAGTAATGGTGGTGTGGATCTGTTGCCTGGAGAAAGACTTCTCGACCTTGAGTATGCGGATGATATTGTCTTACTGTGCGATAATGCTCAAGGCATGCGATCCGCACTTAATCAGTTGGCAATCAGTGTCCGTAGGTATGGTATGTGCTTTGCACCTTCGAAGTGCAAAGTACTTCTACAGGACTGGCAGTATTCAGATCCTGTACTCACCCTGGATGGTGAGCAGATAGACGTAGTCGAGAAGTTCGTGTATCTGGGTAGCTGCATAAGTGCTGGTGGGGGTGTGAGTGATGAGATCAATACACGTATAGTGAAAGCCAGAGTGGCTTATGCCAATCTGGGCCATCTTCGACGCCTTCGTGATGTTAGTCTGGCTGTAAAAGGTCGGATCTACAACGCGTCGGTGAGAGCAGTTTTGCTCTATGCTTGTGAAACCTGGCCTCTCCGAGTTGAGGATTTTAGACGACTCTCTGTGTTCGATCATCGCTGTCTCCGAAGGATTGCTGACATTCAGTGGCAACACCATGTCAGTAATGCAGAGGTTCGGCATCGTGTGTTTGGGCACAGAGATGATAATTCAATTGGTGTCACTATTTTGAAACACCAACTTCAGTGGCTTGGACATGTTCTACGAATGTCGTCCCAGAGAATTCCACGTCGTGCATTATTTGCCGACTCTGGGACTGGTTGGAAAAAGCGGAGAGGTGGTCAGTGCATGACATGGTGTCGTGGTGTGAAAGAAAGCTGCAAAGGACTGGCTTCTGTCGGTCCTTCACGACTCCCTGGTTGGGGTCTGAGAGATGGTGCTACACAGTGGCTAGAGACGTTATCAGATATGGCTCAGAATAGAAGCCAGTGGCGATCCTGCTGTAACCTTCTTTTACTTTCTTCATAAAAAGTGGTTGTGTCTCCCTTACTTCAAAGATTTCTTCTGATTGTACCTTTCCGTTCCATCGTTACGACCACACTACCTTACACCAATCTCTTCGTTATCGTTCTCTTTTTCTTTTGTGCTCCTTAGTTTTTTTTTCTATCTCTCTTCGAATTTTCATTGTTTTGTGTGGCGCATATATATTGGCGCTCTCTTGTACCAATACTTATGTGTTCAAATAAAGAAATATAAATAATCTGAAGTGAAAATCAACTGTAGGATGCAGACACATGCAGCTGACGAGTTCATAACGGGATGAAACACGCATCTTTGATTCCACTGATAATTAATATCCTTCTTTTATTATAATTATTATGATTTAAAACAATTTCAAGGCAATCCACAAAGGATGCATATTAGTAATAAGAGACTGATCAATTGCAGTCCTAAACGTCAGTGGGAAGATTCAAACAACCAATACAAAATACTTCCATCTATTTCATTCATTTTTAAAGGTTCAACATTCCATAAAAGTATAATTTAATATCTACTATTTATTTTACAGGTATTAAGTGAAACTTTAAAACTTCCCAACAGCATGATTGTATATCTCACAAACTATATACCAATATTACATACGTTTCTTACCCAAATTAAATTCCTTAAAAATAAATCTCGGAAATAAGTTAACTTCACAACGTTACCAAATTGTGAATAACTTCGAATGAATCACATGAAAAGGCTTAGTAATATCTGATTTAGAACAATAACTGATGAACAACATGAGAAAGAAATATCCACATAAGTCAACAAAACATTTAAGTATTGCTTAATAATTCTCTATTCAATTGGATTCATAACTATTTAAGATTTAATGAAATAAAAATATTATCTGTGTATGAATAGTTAACAGATTTGTACTAAGTCCTTATTCAAGACTAAATTGATCTGTCATTTTGATTTCACCTGTATTCAACAGCTTATTTCATTTTGAATAATAGTTAGTAATATAATTAACGGTGCACGTTTTGTTTTATTAATGACGAAGCGACTGAATGTACCCCATCCTCATTAATGCTGTTTGCATTTGTCCACACCTAACGGACGAGTTCAAATATCTTTATTTTAATCAAAATATATAGGAATAATTTCAATTACACACCTAATTTCAAGCTACCCTTTGGATTCATCTCTATTTCTAAGGTAATTAATTTCAGAAAAATTGGTCAGTCTAGAATCAATGCTGTTTGTGAACTTTATTTGTTTTGAGTGGCAAATCGGTAACAATAAAACAAATAACACTTACCTTAATAGCTTCATAATTGCCTTTCTCTGAAGCACGATGGATCGGTGTCATACTATCTGATGCCCGATAATCTAAGTGTGCTCCGCCAGCCACCAAAGCCATAACCATTTCATATGGTTTTTCCAACTGTACAGCCATGGTGAGTGGAGTTTCTATTTGGACAATTGAAGAACAAAAATGGATTAACATATACTACAATTTAAAATACGGGCAAATTAAAGTAATTTGTATAGTAAACGTTGAACGTAATATTTTTGTCTAACAGAATAAACGAGCACTTTATCCGATTATAGTATTCCAAATACTTCTGATTGATATGCCTATGAAATCATTTAAAAACATCTAGTAAAATAAATAAATCTTGGTTGATAATCAGAATAACAATGTTTTTTTCAGAAATTAGTTTACTTGTAAACTATTAACTAGTTTGTCTTGTTAATTATTCTTACATATTAAACCAATGTTCTATGTGAATAGTGAGCACAATGTAATTAAATTTATAGTTGAGTAACAGGTAAATGTTTAAATACCCTAAAAGCGAACCGAGTATATCACGGAGCAGATAAAACTAGACTTTGATATGTATAACGAAACCAACTCTTAATTTAACACAAGTGAATGGTTAAACATACAAGCATTTTATCCACTAACACAACTCTGTAACACAGTCAATGACCTCATAAACCAGATATCACTAACGTTTTTCTGACAAACCTTTGGTAATCAACACAAAACAAACACTAAAAACTTCATCTGATGAAGTATCGCAATGCTACCAGTTGACTTATTATTTCTACCTGATAACCTACGTCTAGCCTATTATTGATAGCGCCATAGTTCAACTGTATTAGAACAATCCTTAAAAGGTGTATGATTAGATGTGCAGAAATTTCTGCATTAGTTTTACTCAGATGTCAGAGGCGTTTTGAAATTTTGTTAGTTGAATTCACGAGTCGACTAAACTAGACCACCATTGGAAACCTGTATGTAATGAGTAGTTGTCTCGTCCTAGTATGGGACTCCTCAACGGTGCACATCCACGATCTCGCACTCGGGAATCGAGGCCAAAACCTTCGGTCTCGCACGCGTACATTTATTTCGGCATTTCATAACATTCATTCATCCTGATTAGTAAGTGAGACCAAAAGGTGCAGGCGGACAAAACTGCTCTTAATTAGATCTTCATCAAGACTTACTCTAATAAACATTAATATTACATGTATATATAAACAATATTAAATCAATGAAGACAGCTTATGAGTCATTTAAACAATGTTAAAGGACTACATAACTAATTATCATAAGTAAAAGTACGAATCGATAGCTAGGTGGCAACTATGAAAATAATAAACACCTTAATAACATGAGCAAATTAGTTGACATAAAAAGTTGGCGAATACACAAAATATTAACTTACTAAAGTAATGAACTTCAAAAACTACGTAACAACAAGTGTGTTTGAATAATTAAGTGAAGAGGAGATAAGAAAGGGATAAAAAACTAAACAAGTGTGAAGAACTGAGAGAATTATTTGTTAAGTCCTATCAGTTCAGTGATGGTGCTAGAGGTGTTACAGGTTCTTTATGAACAGAGACTACAGTTGGTAGTTCATTTCCTAATAAATTCTGAGATGTGTGAGAGACGAGATATAACGCAATTAGAAATATTTAGACACATGCAATAAACCACTCCAAACATTTTGTTTCTATTTACCACATGTCTGCTATCGGTCAAGTGTAATAAAATGGATATGAGTATTGAATTTATCAAACCCTACGAAACCATGAAGGAAGGTGTTCACTAGCTCATCGGCTAAGTCACCTGATCATACACTAGATAAAGCTTTCGCGAATGCAAATAATATCGCATATTATAGTTAAGACGCAGACAAGAATCTATAGTTAAACTTCTCATCCATAAAACAGTCTCTTAAGTTAATTGGAAAATATAGTAATTTCAGATATATTATACTAATTATTTAAAAGCATCCGATTTTTCTCTAACAATACCATAGCTTTATTTTAGACACGGTTACCATTTTACGTGGAAGAAAGCTGATTTTATTAATCAAGCTTTTTTAGAGGGAAACTGACTGTTATGGCTAGGTAGTAAACAGACTTGAATACTTATATATATATATATACGTTTTATTCAATGTAGACAAAGTACCAAATTAATGAAACAGGAAATACTGTAAGGGTTTGATATCATTATCAATGACTCTACTTCCTTTCTCCAATACACTTTTGTCTGTTAAATTTACTTTTGTACTTGAAAAAATATCATTCAAGTATACAAACCAATTAGTTATAGGAATCAATGACTTATTGAAATCTATGAATATTTTATAGACAGAAAGGAATTTTTGTCAACCTTTATATATATACAAAATTTTGAGAATTACATTAAGATAAATAACAATCTTATAGTGTATATATTAGTATTAAAATACTGCAAATCTGTTCGGTAGATCTCGATTTATTGATGTTTACTAAAGCGATTAATGAAAATAAAATTGCGAAGACAATTACCACCAAAACATTGTATTAGATAGCATATTGTTACGTTTAAAATTTACAGTCGCATCTATTTTAATGAACTCAAGAAATTTAAATTTATAAATAAGGAAGTCACGGCTAATGTAAAAGGTTTCAGGATGTCACTTTGATTTCATTTAAAATCCAAAATGTTCAAATCATAATATGGAATTTGCTTTGGCCAATGTTAACGTCTAAAATGTCTACTAAAAATGTTAACTCTTTATATTAATGAGAAAACTAAGTAGTTTAATATCAGAAGTAGCTGCAATCTGACGAATTTTAAAAATCGATAACGAAATAACTTCGCTAAAACCATTTGTTCAGCAAAAGCGTCTTGTTGAACCAAGTTTAAATATAGTTCAACTGTTGTAGATTAGTTTGTTAGTCCTAAATGAAATACTTTAGAATAACACAAATCTTCTTTACGTTAATCGTTCTATTGTTTAAAAGTTTCATCACTAATTATTTTCGACAACTTAATTATAGCCTATTATTCATCTAAAATGACAGATGACTGAAAAAGATTTTAGTAAAATAGTATCCCATATTATTATGATTTACCAATAATAATTCTGAAATAATTGACTTGGTTTTTTAAGAGTGGATCCAAACAGTAACTACAATGATGTACGAATTGAGCTTCTACACACTTTTTTCAATAGAATATTTAAGCCTCAGCACATTTTCTTTAATCGATCAAATATTCGTTTTGGCGTTAACAATTCATTTACTGACACTTTCGTATAGACAACCGTATAGAAATCAGTTTCTGTCTAGGATCAGTCTGATGTCATAATAAATTATTATCAGTGACAATGATGTTTTGTAAAACATTGGTCAGTTAACATGTATAAACATTCAAATGGTTTATTCACTTCGGATATGATTACCAAATTGTATTTAGATTAATATTCATTATAATATGAATATATGGGTGGTGCAATATACGTCACCGTGTACAATTCTGTTCATGTTAGAGTGGGAATATATATATATATATATATATATATATATATATATATATATATATATATATATATATATATATATATATATATATATATATATATATAGGTAGGTAGGAAACAACGGCTCAATCAAGTTGTACTTTATAGATGACTTTCAATTATGTTGGACGAATTTATGAAAAAAACAAAAAACGAATAAAATGTGAGAACAAGGGTGGAGAGACAATTCATACAGAAAATTATGTTGCCTCACTAAATAATTAGTCCAACACTATACACAACTATGTACAACGTTTAAACATTCAATTTATTCATAATAAAACAAAGCTGTTTATGATTTAATCTGAATGAATAATGATTTGTTTAATAAAACTGATATTTCACATGGCCGTCTATCGTTCAATTGGTACAAACAGTAGGGTCAGCAATACAATTTGACGAGAGTTTTAGTATCAAGATGTTACTTCTAGCATATCAAAAAGTCACTGATTTGGCAATTTATTTTTGCTACACAAATTAGTTTTTTTCTTTATGAATTGAGATTAATAGAACTAAATCATTTTTCGAAAATTTAGAGTAACCTGTTGATGGTTCGCTGTTTCATAATAAAGAAATTGAGCTAATAGAACCAATTTAAAGTGATAGTGACAAAAATGCAGAGAAATAACAAACATTTTTGCTATGAAGCAGTGTTCTATCAATGCTGTTTATTGTATTATGAAACATATTTCTATGCTAGACACTTTTTAGCATCACTACAGGCTTTTTTAATGTGAACAGAACAGACAGGTACTAAGGTACAAAAAAATATGCGACAACTAACTTTCATCACGGTCTTCTAACAGTCAAAATGTTATTGGAATTGGGGACCTTTATTTGGTTTGATGGCAAATAAATAGAGTCTTGTAGCGATGACAACACGGTTAAGATTAAATGGAATAAGATTTTATGAATCACACTAGTTTATAACGAGGCTCTTCCTAAATCCTAATAACAGAGTCAGTTTTATTATAACAGAGATTAGAGATTAAACCATTATTCAAAATTAAAGGGGTGTGGTGTTTGAATGAACTAATGATTCCTTTGTACTTGTTGAATGCTCGAATTTGAATTCCAAATACTGTACATTCGTTCGTACCTATCTATTGCTTCTTGATTTAATTGCGTTATTTCTGGGATTCTTAGTTCGCACTATAATTCAAATACTCCTAATTATCACAAATGGTTAACTAATTCTTTACGTTATGTAAAAAGAGAAAATGATATCTCCCGTGCTAATAAAACAGAACATAATCACCAGTATTTGAAAAAATGAAATGCAGAAAAGGTTTCCGTGTTTCTTGTTCTATGATGCTAGTTACTATAATTCTGTTTGATTATGTCTGTTTTGTAACAATCTGTAAAAATGAATGATTCGCATTTTACAGTATCTCAATTAATATGTGAGAGTCCTAACTCTTATAGCGCTCATAATAATATGTATCACTGACTCAAACTTTACCTTAAGCTACCAAAATGTTGGTATTTTGATGGATTGATAGATCCTAAGCAACTGAACCCGAAAGCACTAGTAATTAAACCACCAACCAATGAATGGGTGATTATACCCTACTATGACAATATCACAGGTAACCATCAGGGAATTAATCTATTTATCGTTTTAATAATTAAACTCATTTTGAACGTTCTTACTACTAAGTGACTCCAGTTTAATAAAATTCTATGTAATTATAAGCAGAGATGGATAGTGGTTATCAGTGGACGCGTGTTTCATTCTGTTATGAACTCGTCAGCTGCATGTGTCTGCATCCTACAGTTGATTTTCACTTCAGAACTCAAATCCAGTACCGTTCGCTTCAAACAACATCACGTTATTCACTTAGTTACTGAGGCCTTATAGCCACTAGTTTGTGCAATGTGGTGAAACTTGATTCATTTTTGTATTGGTTATTTGAATGTTCTTAGTGATATCTAGAACTGAAATTGATCAGTCATTTATTGACATATGTGCATGAACTGTGGAATGCAGGTAGACGTAGCTGACCATTCCAAAATAGGACGAATTGTGAGTCCTGAATTTCACTGTTAGCCACCATCTATCTCTTCTTTTATCATTTTTGATTTAATATTATGTCAAGGCAATCCGCACAGAATACACATATGCCAATGAGAGACTGATCAGTTGCAGTTCTAAACATTTATGAGAAGATTCAAACAACCAATACAAAAGTTAATTAATTCTACGTAATTTTTCTGTTTGGTTGTAACTAATGGATACATATTTTATAAATTAATTTATTAATTTATCGTCTACAACGAGCCCATTCTAAAAGTTATACAATCGTATATACATGTATTAATTTATTGGTTATCTTTATACGATATATATGCTCATATACATAAACTGATAGATAAGTACTAAATAGGTTTATTCAGTGGTAAAAAATATGGACAAGAATATATCAATTTATCTTTTTGTCACAATACGTTTATTCAGATACTTGCTTAGTTATTTAATAAAAACAATCATAATAATGTATTTACTTACCTCCGTTTGGTTTCCATTGGAAATTTGGGTCCAATCCTTTATTCAACCATTTATTAACTTTATCTACATCACCCACCTTGACATATTCAATAAACTGACGAAAATTTGCCTTAGAATATGCAATTGGTAGAAATAAATTAAAAGGGTAAACGATTAAAATAAACTACTGACACTAAGATAAACATAACGAAAAAGGTGAATAAATGAACAAGCCGAAACCAGTTGGAGAAATATTGATTTCACGAAAACTGATATAATAATGGATGGTCATAAACTCACAAATGAATAGCTTTGAAGCAAGTTTCGTGAAGTTTCTATGTAAACTATGGGTCAACAAAGTCGGAATTAAAATGGGGGATCGATGATGACGTTAAATAAGCAATTGATTTATAAAATGGTTTAGCTAAACTTGGAAAACATCAATCAACATACATAACCATTTCGGTTCATATTTGTTATGTTCGCGGTGGGAATTATGGGTCGTTTTCACTTCAACTTTAAATAAAATCCAGATCAAATGCTTATTGATGAAGTAGTCAAACCTACATTTGAGACAATTTTTAGATAATTGATGATGGTAACTTACGATATTTAATTAACCAAATGATTGAGTTATTACAACAATGTTAGTGATACGCGAATTCGCTCAATAAACATACTAGTTTACTCAGTCATTTGCTTTCTGTTATCTCTGCCTAATTCAATCGAGAATCCCAGTATTATGGACTATAATATTGAGTGATTTAAATGATTAATTTAACACATTGCCCACTGCTATCATTATTGCAAAGCTATCTAACAGTTCTGAAATCCAACTCTAAGGTTTCAGACCTGTGATAGACGATAACATTGAGCTACTATGATAAATTTTATTTGATCAGGTGATTGACTCAATTCGACTAAAATATAAGTAATTCAAGAAAATGTCTGATGAATGTCTACTATCCTAAAATTCTCAGTTTTTATGTGGTAGAAAGTATATTCGGTTGGCAATATTCTCAAAATTTAGAATGTCTAATTAAAACATGTTAGATACATCAGGTGTTTCCACTAAAGTCAATAATCAATTTTAAAATTACAGTATTAGGTGCCTTCAAAAATACTGAGTAAATTTATTTGTTTATTTTAAACAAAAAATCGTATACAACTGAGCACTGAAAATAGTATGCTCTACGAGCGTCGGTAATTGATGGACGATATCAAAGTTACTCAGATGATGGGCCCAAAACGCAAACAAGTCACCTGAGTCAATCTCTTAAAAATGGTAAAGACACAGCTAACTATTAGAAGGCCATTCAGACATACAAACTTTTCAAGTGCTTCTAACAGATCACTACAAAGAATGAGAGCAGGCCTGTGACTCTATCAATGCGGTAGTAGCGATTTGCTTTTAGTAAGTGAAAAACAAATGTCATACTAACGGGCACCGATTCCTGGCTGAATAAGTATAATTTGGACAGCTTGTGCATAATCTTAAAGTAAAACAACATCAGTGCTATACTTAAGGTCAAAAAATCTTTCCAAGATACTGATCCACATCCTCAGTATATAATATTTTCAAAGCTTTTTCCAGAATGTTAACCTTGGAGAAGAGTTGTGTGCTTAGATAACTCTGTTTAACTCCACTACTAGATTTTGACAACAGAGAGAGGCGATTTTAAGCCTTCACGTCACCTGAAATGTATATATAAAGAGTTTTTAAGGTGTTAATAAGATTCCTAAGCACACTGTTCTTTAACAGAAATCTTAGAGAACAGTTCTGTCCAACAAAACGAAGGATCGCCTTGTATCAAGTTACACAACAATTGATGGCCTGCAATACATTAGGTGGTACTCTTACGTTTGAAAGTAGGGTAAAATGTGACTGATATATCCACAAACTGGTAAATAACCAAACCACCCGTTATGAATCGCTCTATCATGACGGAAGCAATACTTCGGATCTAATCTAAAGTAGACTTATTCTCCGATAGCTGATTCATGAATTACGTAAGTTCTTCCTGAAGATGGGATGACAACAACTTGATCCTGTGATATTTAAGCGCTCTCTATTTCCAATCCTTTTATAAAACAACTCAGTCAGTTGCGCGATCAGAAGTCATACATATCCTAAGACATAGCAAGGAATAATTCGCCAGGGCTTTGTAACTTATGGCGCCTCAGAATTTGAGAACTCTTGGGGAACTCCTGTTCATTAGGCGGATAGGCAGTTACAGACCAAACAAGCCAAGACAGTCGAGACATCACTGGAGCAACAACTTATCTAAACTGTTCCTTTGACATAATCAAGGAGAATATTAGATGTTACTAATTGAAGTTTCATCAAATTCACAGACACGAGACCTCTCACTGCTAATGACTTGTATGTGTTGAACTACCCTATAACTGGTTAACATGTGTCCTCTGTCTCTATGCATACTTCATGAAATTTCTGTACGTAAGAGTCAGTGTGCATCATCAAACCCATGGACCACCGAAGCAGACCTTAGGAGTCTTTAGAAAAAAATTGTATTATATCATATTAAATCAAACAAATAGTTCATAAAATTTGTGGTCAGATGTTATTTCTTTGCGTTTTGATCAGCATCGCTCTATTTTAAACATTTCTGATTGATAAATAATAAGTAATTTTTATCTTTATTTTATAATTACCTCTTCTCCATTATTCAAGATTATACTCAAAGTTTTTGAGAACTAATAGAACTCTTAACGATAATCACAATTTAATTAACATTTATATGTCCTAAGTTTAAGTGAAGTAGTTGACAAAATAAACGTTATAAATGTCTAAAGTCAAAAAAAATTATGTTGTTCATTGATCTATTGGATCAGAAGATATTCATTGTGGAAACCAAGGTAGTTAACCAAACATCTATTAGTCTTTGACCAGTCGTTTTAGATAAAGGTATCTGACTTATTTGAAAGACCGTTGAGATCTCTGAATTAGCACTAAACTATTACTGAGTGGATTTGTTAAGTCTTATCATTTGATGCATTATCCAGTTCTCGTCACTACGTGGCTTGTCACTTTTTCTTATTTACTCAAACCAACATTAGAGATCTATCATGTTACTCAATATAAAATTTCATCTAAATAGACAGATCTTGAAGGCTTTATCAGTCTGAACGTTGGCCCACCGCTAAATTATCAATCGGGTTTTCAGATAACGCCAACTTTTACTCTTAAATAATAGTCTTCATCAGCAAGGCTTATTTTTAATAACTGACTCTAGGATTGAGGGTTGCATAATTCAGAATATACTTTAATCGACTTGTAATATTTTACACTGAATACTTTGTAACTAGTTTTCATGAGCAACTCGTTTCCGCATATCTGTTTTGCAAACTTTGTTCAAGTTCAAATGTTTTACAATTTCATATTTTAACTTTTAAGCAAATACCCTAGATAAATCGGTATACCCCTCCAAAAGAGAGATGGTATAGTTTATTGACCAGATTGTGTTACATGAATTCATTTCCTTATCTAACCTAATACTAAGTTTCATTATCGTAATCAGACATGAGAAATTATATGCCAATAGGTTAATTATTACCTCTTAGTACAACCAAAATTTACTTCCTAAATTCTAAATCCTTATAATGAAAGCAATTTGATTTAAAAACGATAAGTTCATAATCTATTCATTTTTCATGTAATTATTTCCCTTGGTACACGTTGTAGAGCAAGAGTAACAAACATTGAGAGATGAAGTAAATTCATTTCGTATACCATATTCCTTTCCAATAAGTACTAATTCGTATGAATAAATTATATGTTTTGCAAATTTAGTTTTGTGATCAACATCCAAAACGTCATTTAGTTCACTAGTGAAAAATAATTATAATTACTTTCCCTATTTATAAAAGTCGAATTTATAGACGAATGGAATAAGCGAGAGAAAGACCATGATATATCCAATACAAAAAACATTTCCCGATTGTTACGAGTATCGTAGGCAAAATGACACGACTGATAGTAATTAACAAAAAACAATGATAGAGTTATCATAACAATTGTGAAAATAGTAAGAATAGTTGAAGGCTGCATGAGAAAACGCAATTACTAAGATGGTAAAAATATTAAGTCAAGGTTTAACAGTAGACAGATACACGAATTGGTTTTTTCAATTCAATAACTACTTTATTCTGATAATTTCATTTTTGGTATGATTTCAATTTACAGAATATGTAATGTGAGAAATTTTAGGAGTAGGGAGTGTCATGACTAAATTTCTAAGCGCAAATGTTTAGCTCGTGAGATAACCATTCAGCCTTGCTACAAAATGTGCACAGCATCTTTTACACCTATAATTATCAGATATTCCTCTTTCCTGAATCTATCAAGTCAAAAAATCTTCCAAAGATAGGAACTGACTTTACCTGGGAATGTTTCCAGAATGTTTAGAATAGCTAAAACATTTTGAACACGTGGTTAGAAGTTTATTTATTATTATAAATCATGATAGTGAAAAGCATTCAATTTGTCTGAAAACGTCTAATTTAAGTAAATTTAGCCTGTGTTTAGAAAATAAAACTTAAAGCCGAACTTTAAAACAATGAATGGCCTTTTCAAAGATTATGAAATTTTATAAATCAACGAACAAACAATTTGTAAGGAACCTGAGACATCACTGTTACTGCCTTATGTGTTTATGTTGTCTTAATTGATATACGGTTGAGCAAAAAATAATATCACTATTTGTTGTAACGTTATAGACATTTGAATAATGTAAATGCTCATTATTAAGCGTATTATTAAGGGGAAAAATGAACATATTAAACATATGCTAATAGTTGCATTTAATATATCAGTCTGTATGACTAACACTTCTACTTAAAAGTGAATAACTAAAAGACACTCCTTTATGATGAACTATTCCAGACAGTTGCGTCATAATATATATATATATATATATATATATATATATATATATATAATAACAAGATGCATAAGATTTTTTTAATTTTTAAAGAAAAAGTGAGTACTTTCAAGATAATCATTGTTGACAAGCACTAATCACGTTTTAAAAAAACATTCAACTACTACTTGGTGTTTAGGTTGATTCACTACCTGTAAGTGCCTATTAAGAAATAGCTGTCGTTTCATGT